GGGGGGCGGGGAGGGGGGGGGGGGGGGGGGGGGGGGGGGCGGGGAGAAAAAGAACAGAGTCAAAACTTTTTGTATATATAAGCCAAATGAGCTTTTACCTACCTGAAAGGGAAACTCAAACTAGAAAAGATAATATTATTGATAATATAAGCAGGCGTAGCAGCAGCACACCTCACTTCTTTTACCCCTCAGCTACTTTCCCCCCCTTAGAGAGATGTAGAGAAGCGCGTATTTCACGCTGAATCTCATCCATAATTGAAGAAACAAAACATCTCTATTTTCAGGGGATTTAACTGCATCCAAATTTTTAGTTGGCGCGGGGGGTGTGTGTGTGTGTAAGGAATCACCTTCATTTAATATACTGTCATACAAATGTTTCAAGGAACATTGTTGCAAGGAACTGAGAGGAGTTGGCTTAAAGCACATAATGGCCATCCGAGAGTTTAATGAGGTATTCAAGGCATCCTAGTGATGTCTTGACAGCTGTGCTCCCTCTGCTATATCCCTGCATTGTGCACACAGAAAAAACTGCTACCAGAAACACGTATTTGGCTGTTGAGAGGACATCACCACACCACACTCGCATGGACACCAGGAAGAATTTTTACTCCTGATAACATCAGGAGCAATGGCATGGGAGTAATGGGAGTATAGCACATTGCTTACAGACAGGCTCATATGAGAGCACAGAACCGTAACAAACTTCATTTTTTGTGTGAGACCCTTAAGGGTGGGAGGGATTAAAAATAAATAAATAATTCTCATGCCCATAAAAGCTTCAAATTCAAATGAAAGAAAAACAAGAGCGCAACTGACAGTATTACCAATCTACTTTAAACCCAGTAGTTTTATGAAGAGAAGCCAAAAAGAAACTTGAAATTACAAATTATCCAGTACCTTTAAATGTTTCTGTAAATAATTGTTAGTTCATGAAATCAAGTTATTTCATTAAGTTGAAGAGTTATTACCACTAAAGAATTATTTAGAAACTAGAAACTATACTTTCTAATTATTGAATAATTACAAATAATTAAATGAAGAAAAAATGAGCAGTAAATACATATTCTTCTATTCTGAATTTCCTAAACGGGTATCTAAGACAGATGTCCCAAACATAATTTACAATCTAAGATACCAAATCTGAAAACCCCATAAATAACATCTTCCCCATAATCCACACAGTAAAACAAATTTCAAAGATCTGTAGATTACTATCAGAATGACAATGTGAACTATATAACCACAAAAATAAGTTTAATATCAGATATCTCGGTTTCTTAAGAAAAAACATTTTATGCAATCACATAATCTGAGCATCTCCTGGTGACTCTATCTCAATCCATCTGCATCATTATTGAGTAATTTTAGCGATGTCTGGCAGGAGACAAGTCTCACAGACATAAAAGTACAGCTTCTGTGAAAGGGCTGGCAAGTACTTGGCCCATGTAAGACATGCGGGAATCCACGTAGGGGCTCAACACTGGGACACAAATTTGGAGTCGGAACTCACTGCTTTTGCTGCCTGTGGTACCAGCTGTGGGCTGCTGATGGCAAATGCAGTCGGTGTTTGCTGGCTACACGGGCTAGCTCCTTGCTTCAAAATTCATAAAAACGAAACCAGAACCAAGGTGTCTGAAGATCAGCGACCAGGAAATGGTAGCATCCAAAGCTGTGATGTAAAGTTGCAAAGACGAGTCCTACACTGTGTCTGCTATTGGCAAAAAAAATCCCCCCACAATACTTTCCTGTTTGTATGTGTACTGGTGCATGCAAGGCATAAGTGGGAATTTGTATCACATGTGGTTTGTGTTATTTCTATAAAAATAGAAAGACAACTAATTACTTTCTGCATTGTACCAACAACAGCTTGTTAGGATCTTCCAAATACAAGGTCAATTTAAAAAAAAAAATAAATTGAGGGGTATGAAAATTGCAAATCTATGTTGTCTATAACATTTGGTAAGCCAGTTTATGCAAGATAAGTAATGCTGCTGGAAAAGTCAACTGGGAAAGGTAATATTCTCCTGTGAGAAGCTGCATATAAACTGTATTTATATTAATAATGTTGATGCTTTTTGATTACATAAGTTCATTCTACATCACAAGGGAGTATAAGTCACCATCCCTTATTTTCCAGGCAGAAGTCTGTTTTCCACATTTCATGAAAAAGTATGCTTGAAAACCATCCCTAATTTCTCAACCTCACCAATTTTACATTCAGCTACAAGAAAAATGGCAGATAAAATGCCAAAATAATTAAAAAAGACAGAAAACTAAATGCCATGAAGTACAACTATGCAAAGGTGATAAAGTTATTCCTGCCAGTTCCTTGGCAATGTTCATAACCCATGCAGCTCCTACAACCAGGATTGGAATAAGCCTCCAAACTCGAGGAGTTTTCTTGTCACAGGACACGTTACCTTGCCACATTTAGATCAGTCTTCATAATCTTTGCTCGTTTGTTGTTTCTGCAGATAGTATGTCAGTATAGGACCCTGGCTTTTTTTAGGGGCTTAGCAGCATGCACCATCCTCCTGGGTTCAAGTGAGAATCTTGCAATAAACATTCATCTCCATAGTGATGAAATATGCTGTCATACAGACCAAGGTGCCAGCAGTTCCACAGACCAAAAAAGACCACATTTATGCCACTCTAGCTAAACAACTTATTGAAACCATAAAAAAGGAGCCAGATTTTTTTTTTCCTTCTCTAATTTATCAGGTTAGTAAAAGTATCACCAGGATTTATGGTCTGATTCCACTCATTAATTACTAAAAAAATAACCAGGAAAGTATTTGGTACAGTTTACATCTAGAAATTGTCAAGCTATCAGAGAGAAACACATGGAAGACTCAGACAGGCTGCTGAAACAGTTTTAATGCTTTCAACATCACTGCAGAATGCAGGAGCACTTACCTCAACACGGGTGGGTTCTGTGGGTGGCTGTGGGGCTTCGGCGGGTTTATCTGATGGTGGCTCTTTCCCAGAGCTCTGTAGTTGGGAATCCACATACTCCTTTAAGGAATCGAAGTCCCTCTTCCCTTTGTACTGGTCACCCTACAATTATTAGATAGTTTGCGCAACTGTGTATATGCAATTAATCTAGCAAATAAATAATTACCAGAAAAGCACAAGATTCCCAAGTGTAAGCATATTCATAATAAATCTATTTAATTTATCTAAATATTATCTAGTCATTAAACCTCTCCATGGCATTCCATTCACTCCACATCTTCAGGATTTGCCATAGATTGTTCTGTACCAAAACGGAACAATCTAAAATTTCCTTGAAATGAAAGGTATTTTAGAAACATAGAAGTAAGTTTTAGAAACTTTTCCACTTTGACCTTCATCTCTCACTCTAGTCAGCTTTTCCAAGGTTTTATTTTTTTGAACCTAAAGCTACTGCAAGGAACAATAAAGTACCCATCGCTCTTTGGTGGTGGTCTCTGTTACCACGAGAGCTCTCTCCAGTGCTTTGACAGGGCTGAAAGGCTTGACTTGCATGTCATGTAACTACATGGTCACTCCTCTGGCCCACACACTTGTCACATATCCTCAGAAAACCCAAACAGTAAGGCAACGCACCTAAGTTCACCTGGGAGCAAGAGACAACAGCTGCCTGCTGTGGGGCAGGCATTTCCAATGGCACCACTCTCACCAAAGTTAAGTCACATTTTTGAACCTGCACATAAAGCCCTCAACCAGCCAGATCTTCAAGAGCCAGTTTGCCTTAGACACTTCCCCCTATCTCAGGTACTTTCACAACTCTAGAGGATAAGAAATCAGAGCACCTCTGAGCAGTTTCTAGTCTCAAATCCACTGTTGGCCACCTCCAAACTGGCTCTTGCATGATTGCCCTTAGTGCTCTCTGCAAAAATTAGTACTAATTTCTCTGTTGAAAAGACAGATCATCTCTTCAAGACACTACATACCCATTTTGGATAGAATTCTTGAGTTTCAGTCCCATGAGGTGTGGGCTACCAGATGTATCTCCTCTCACAGATGAGGAATACTCTTCAAGAAACAGCATACAATCTTCCATACGTTGGAAGGAAGAACAGACACCTCTTCAACTATTTCCTATATCTCTGGAACACTTTCTACACATTTTCCTTCTTTTGTCATTGATAATGTTACTTGTAACTATAGCCAGTTTCCCCACACTGGGTCTAAATCACAAAGGAATTAATCTAAGATGATGCAAGAAGCCTGTACCTGCTTGCTTGTATCCATTTCAGCAGGGCAGGGTCAGTGCCCATTCATTCCTCCCAGGGTTTCTGCTGCATCTAACCAAGAGGGATGGTGTGATGCCAGACTTCAGTTATGACAAAGGGGATGATGGTATTATGGACAACAAGGCTGGATGACTGAAGCAGTTCTCCTCCTCCTCCCCTCCCCTTACTGAACAGTGTAATAGCAACCAAAGAGATTTTCAGGAATTTCTGGGTCAGATTACTGGAAAGTTGTTGGGGTTGTATTGTGGGTTTTTTTTAAATATATTGTACCAGCCCACAAAGTAACATGCTATTCTGGTGGCAGTATACCACCAGGGAATACCACACTGCCAATGGAGAAAAGCCAGTTTGATGTTAACAGAAATACATTGTTCAGACTAATGGCTGAGATTCAGCTTTACCAAATACAACAGCAGTGATCTGACTTTTTCTTTCACCACACTCTTGATTCAAATAACTCCAAGCACCTCAAACTTCAATAATTACAAAGGGTCAAAAAAACCCAACTGATCTGGCTTGTCAAGAAAAGCCACAGCTAACTTTTCTAGATCAAGATGGTATGGTTGTGGCAAGTTATCTTGCCATCTGTAGATATCTGAAAAATAAAAATAAAGCAGGTAGGGAACCATTCCGAAGAGACAGCAGAACACTTCCCATTCTTCAGACTCATGCCATAGAGAGACAAAATTTATTTAACTGAAAACACCTCTAACCTTGGACATGCTACCATGTTTAACTTGAGCACTCCCTCAGCTTCCAGTTCTGCTTCTGACATGTGCCAGGCACTGCTCCTCGAGCAGTAACAATGTCGTGTATTCCCTGTGTGAATCAGGTTGGGATTCAAAAATGCAGATGCTGCTTCATTTAAACTCCCTGGAGTGTCTGATCTTATAGGGGTGCTTATACCAAACCTCACATACACTGGTATGTACTTACGGCCACTTTCTCTTTAGAGCAGCACCAAACTGCCACAAGCAACAGCTGCTAAACTGGACTGAGTAGCAAAACTTTCATCTCTGATACCATAGATGTTCAAAAAGGAATGCAAGATGAATGGGACAAAAAACCAAAACCCCCCAAAACTTAGTGGGTAAGAGCTGAAAGAGAAGTCCTGGGTTCTCTGCTTGCAGACCTATTTTTAATATCCATTTAATACATTTAATTTATCTTGAAAGTGTGAAACATATGATAAGTAACACTACTATTTATGTTTATTTGCTGCTGTTCATGTATGTGGTATTTATAAATATTTTGCTTCCCCATAACTTCAGAATATTGTAATTCTTTGAATTGCTATGAGGAGAAATGTCAGCTGGGCCCACAGAACTCTCTCTCACAGTGTCATATGAAGTGTGCAGATTTACAAGCAAAATGTGCATCACTCAGACATCACTCAGCAGATAGGCACCACTCAGATGGGAACTTTCTGATACACATTGTGAAAATTACATACTTTATTATTTCTATTTCATCTATGTTTTTGTGTTTCATAGGAGGTAAAGTACTAAGATAAAGTAAACCCAGAATTCTCTCACAGTAGCATAACTGGAGATACTGCTAACAGATTTATGAACATCATACCAGTTATTTGCAGAGCACAAACAGCAAAAAATTCTAACTTTTCTCTGTGGACAAAGTATACCTCTTCTAGTATCTGACTGAACCTCCAACATCTTTTCTCTCACAAGCAGACTTTTGTATATGCCCACTTGATCTCTTTTTCCCAGGATGTAAGCATAGTCCAAATATTATTCAGAAAAAAATGGTCTGATCTTTTGCTGAGCTTGCAGACTCACCTTTTCACCATTCCTAAACCAGAGGAGTGTGGGATAGCCACGAACTTGGGTTTCAGAGCAGACTTCGTAATGCTGGGTACAGTCGACCTACATTTTGAAAAAAAAAAAAAAAACAAAACCAAACCATTCAGCGGATAAAATAAATATACAACAAGCATCATAGCCTCCCTTATGTTTAAGATCTCAGAAAAATACAGGAACAAGCAATACATGGCTTGGTAAAACTTGGTACCAACTACTATCTTGAGAGTGATTATGTCTGCCTTCCAAACAGTGGTTTGGTTGTATAATTGGGAGGCTATGTGTGTGTTTTGATTTTTTTTTTGGGGGGGGGGGGGGGGGGGGAGGAGGGAGGTAGAGATAGAGGGAAGTAGTAACAGTTACAAAGAACAATGAAGACATAATTAAATATTCCAATTAAAAAGTACTTGGTATTCTCAGTGAATAAAATCACTGCATGGACAGTAAGACACAAAATGCTAATATGAGAGAACTTTAAAGTGAAGATATATTGGCTCATCCATTTTTTAAAAGACTACTCTTTAAAGACTTCAGAAGACATGTCAACAGCTAGCAAGTTAACTTTACTCCAAGGGAAGTTCCCAGTGCATAGCACCATTCAATTCTAATATGTCATAAACCAATCTAAAGTTATCAGTTTATAATCTTTTTTGAAGCAGAAAAAAAAGATAACTTAGGCATTGGAGTATTTGCTCAACACAGCACTTGGATTTTGAATTTTACATTAGAAACACTTTGCTCCAGATCACTGAAGATCAATTCTAAAGATTAAACAGCATCCTGCCAGTAGGTATCATTGCTGTTAAGATGCTATTCCCCCAGATTACATGAAGGTCATGGTTCAACCTTCTTAGAAACAGTTGTGTTTCCTGTTTACTTAGACTTACAATCTTAGGCAAGACATGTTTCAAATAGTTTCACAAGGTATACAGTTATACAAAATTGACTAGGCATCAAGACAAATCTTAGTGGCTTTATTAAATAGCAACTATCAGTATTAGTAACTGCGAACGCAACTGAATAAAACAGAAATTTTGGAAATTTTTTCGTTATTCTTCTCTGGGTATCAGAGAATGGTAACTTCAAGAAGACGCTTAAGCTAACCAAAGATTTTATCAGACAGCAAGCAAGGTTCTCAAAAAGTAAAACAGCAGATGCAACATTTGGTACAGACAGCATGGAAGAAGCAATAGCCTCCAGTATTTTATTCTCAGAGGGAATCTACTTTTATATCTACCAGGTCTCAAAATTATATATATATATATGTCTTCTCTGAAGTTCAACTATGCTGACCTGCTCTGTACATCTATGGCATACCTGAATAAGCAGATTTTAAAAAGCATTAAAAATAAAAGTAATTAAAAAACAAAAAAAGAAGTTAAGCTCATCACCCCTAGTAACAGCTGAAAGTGCTATGAAGGCAGAGGCAGGGGAGATGGCTGGGGTTTTGCCCCTCTGCAGAACTGACAACACTGTTAATTGTTATGCAGTCTTTCAGATCAGCGGAACCACTCTGAAAGCTTAAGGACATGGAAGCTGAGCCTGGTCAGTTTTCCACCATTGGCAAATACAGAGGGATTCACATCATGAGCCACCTGTGGACTTAGGTATGGGTCAGCAAATAAAGCCAGTAACTGCAATTGCCAGACCACCTCCATACCTCTGCACAGAAGTCAATCCACGTACAAGTAACAAGCTCCCATGGTAAATACACCACAGAACCTGGTTATCAACCCTAAGGGAAATAGTAAAGCAGGACAAGATATCAGTTTTTAAGGTGGAAGACCCCCTGAAACCTTTAGAAAGTTCTATGGGGGTAAAGAGGGAAAAAAAACCCAAACAAACAACAATAAAAAATGAACCAAGAAATAATTCATCATAAGGAGCCCTGTAGGTCTAAAGCTTGCTAAGGTATCCAATGCTGCAAAGAGCAAATTAGAAGTCACTTTCCCACTCAAAATAAATACTGAAGACTATCAATTTCTGACAACGGGGAAGCATAGTAAAAAACAAATCTCAAAATATTATTCCCTGCATCTGAAGTATTAGGCTTATTCCCAGCTCCCTCTGAAACACAGGGAGCTCCCTGTGTTTCTAACAAGTCCTTGCTTAAAATGAGGGAGTCCTGTCAACTCTGGATGTGCGAGGAAAAAAAAAATAACCATCCCAAAATTAAAATAGAAACTATGACTATAAAAGGATTTAAGAGATGACAAACAAAAAAATTGTTATTTGCAAATCACAGCACAAAAAGCATGATACTTGGCTGAAACACCCATTCACACAAAACACATTTTCAGACTAAGAGCATTTCACCTACCTTGCCAATCTTGACAGTTTCCGAATGCTCAAAGGCTTGAGCCAGCTGTTCCCAGGTTGGGGCCAAAGCCTTGCAATGACCACACCAAGGGGCAAAGAATTTGATAAAGTGATTACCTTTTAAGTCAAAAGGAAAAAAAAAAAGGTTTAACTCATTTGGAATTAATTTGGCTGCAATTAAAGACTAGGTACTAATCTCAGACTGCAAATTTATCATGGTATTTCCTGAGTTAAAGATAGGAAACACTGTGAATCAAAGGCCAGGACAGAATACTTCAGCAATTAGGTTTTCAATACTGTATGCAGTCCCACAGTGTTGCCAATTTCCCTGAAAATCCAAACAGCTTCACAACCTCAAGCCAACAAGTGGGATATTAAAACTGATATTTTTAACCTCACCATTTGCTACAATGTCTAATTCTACCATGTCAATCACTTCCCCTATTACAGAGTAGAAAGAACCACCAAGGAACATGCATTTATAACAGCATAAATGAAAGTAAGCATTAGACTTCAACTTAAACATTTCTTAGGAAACACCACTACATTAAGTCCATGCACTACCTAAACAATTCTGTTTAGCTTTCCATTCTCCTTTTTCTGCCCTGATCTTTGTATTTTCATGTCAGCTATTCAGAAATAGCTGCCTTTAGTAGATTTTTTTCAGTATTTTATAGAGAGGAGAGTCTCTCTACTATCTCCTACTAATGTTTAGTTTAAAAGTATCATCTTAATTGCAGAGTACCAGAATATGCAATTTCCTTCAATTAAGATTACTATTAATTCAAGATGCTGCATGCTTTTGCACACATCAAGGCAAGGCTCTGTTAATATGAAATAAAAATGAATTTAATTAAAAGAAGTAAAAAAATAAAATCAAATTAATTTGAAGGAAATGCCAGCAACTGGAAAAAAAAGCTCTTTTTAACAGAATTATTCATAATCCTTTGAAGACTGCTTTGGGGCTAATATTACTAGAATTCATTTCTAGTTTGAGGGCTTGTTCACAAAAGGAGGTCAGAGGAAAGACGTCACAAAATAACTAGGAAATGTAAACAGCAGTAGTAGCATATTCTAACTTGCCTGGTCTGCATGTAGAAGAGTTTCAAAGTGACTCACATGCTTTGCTTTGGTTAAGTAAACTGCAAACTGAAATTTCTCATGAATGAATAAGAACATCTAGTCAAAATCAGCTATTCTATACCACATACTCTGATATACTCTCCTCCCCGACAGAAAAAAAAATAAAATTCTTTTTGCCCTAGAGCACCAAAAAGGTAAAGGGAGATGTTTTAAGAACAAAAGTCAACCTTCCAGCTGGAACTGCTAAGCCTCCTTCTAAATTTAAGCACTGAACTTCTTGTAACTGAAGTCAAGAGAGGACAACAGCTTTACAGATGATCATAAACCTGCTCAACCATTGGATATGACCAGGAGAATGTCTCCTCTATGAATGCCAACGGACACATAATGAAAAATTACAATAAAAATATTAAAACATTTACACATACACTAAACTTAACTATCTTCTCAGACTGTGGAGTTGTTTGATGCTTAGCATCTCCCTGAGAGCTTAGAGAAGAATCCATGAAGAATTTTTATGTAATTCTGTGTTAAGCCACACATGCTGGGAAGTTTTAAGTTAGCTGCACAAAATGCTTTTCCACCTGAAAATATTTCTAATCTGTCAATGGTTACTTCAAGAAGCTCTAGTATCTGCCTCACTGGTGGTATCACATGGGCACAGACAGTTAATTTAATCTGGCCTTTGTTTTTAGGAAAACAGACAGAGATGGTAGGATCATTTGTTGTTACGGCAGCGCCAAGCTTCTATTGTAAGATTTTGCTCATTCTCTAAAAAAACTCCACCCTGGGGGGATGAAATTTCCCATGTTAGGTATCACTCCTGGCATTAATTTTAAAGCTTCCAGACAAAATATTTTTAAAAATGGCCAAATAGGTGAATTGTTTTGCCCACATTAAATTCTGGAGAAAGGAAGCTAAACAATATCAAAATAAGGGGCCAGACTGGAGTGGGACGGGGGCAGTAAGGAGGAAGCAGGTGGATTATACTTATTCAGAAGAGCAGTCTGGGAGTAAGAACAAGCAGCACCTAGGGAAAGAGGAAACGCGACTTGCAAAAATGCAAAGTGGCAAGGCTATGACTGAACAAGGAACTCAGGGAAAGAGAGAGTTTAGTTGAGCAGGTCCCACTAGCTTCTTCCATGTGATTACAGGCCTTAATTTTACTGCCTACTGAGTGGAGTGCTGTTCTTAAACTTCCTCATGGTATGCAATATGTAATTAGAAACTACTGCATTTTTACACAGTCTGTAGTTTCATCCTCTTTCACTAGGTGTTACTGAAAAATAAAAGTGGGAAGGAGGTACCTTGAAATCTAACACTTCTGTTGCAGACTTCCCACTACAGATGTCTCTGTAAGCAAGTATCTCTTGCTTGTGAAAAAAACAGTTACCTTCTGCTATGTGCATCTTGAAATTGTCTGCTGAGAGTTCATACATTCCCTGCTTAGGTTCAGGGGTTTTTGGTGGTTCCACATCAGATTCTGGATCCTATTCATGAGAAAAATTAACTTTTATTTGTCTTGCACAGTAAATACACAATAATAGATTCCTGTCATCACACCATTCTGTGGTAGTGTTGTAAACTCTGTGCTCTGAAATTTTTAATTCCTAAAGCAACGTCCTTAATTAGCTTGATTTAGGTATCTAATGTTTCCTAACAAAAAACTACTTGAAAGCAAAATGTGAAAAAAGACTACCACACAGAAAACAGCTATCACAGTCATTGGAATAACAGAGTCTTTCACCGTGCTGTAGTATAGTCACAGAACACAAGGCACATCACCATATATTAATACACTTAGATTACACAACAGTTCCTCCATAGAATCATGCATTAGCCACACCTGCCATTGCACCAGTTTCAGTAGTCTTTGGGCTATTTAAAAATAGCTAGCGAAAAAGCTATTTTCTGCTCCCCTAATGCCGGAAAGGGCGACCTAATGGCTCCATGAAGGCAGCAATAAGGTGAAAAGAGCAAACACTTTATAGGTATAACTTGCAGAAAACCCATTGGCAGTTCAGCAATAGCAAGTGACTACTTTCTAGATCCTAGGCTCAGAGCTGGAAAGAATTTTTTAAGAACCTCAAAGGAAATTTCTTAAAATAGTTTATCATTTAATGTTTAATTATTAAAAATACCATGTTTGTTTAAATATAATCACGTCCTAACTGTGGTTCAGCAACCACTAAAGCTTTATCATGATTAGAAACAGTAATCACAAATTTAATTTTAGGCAAGGCTTGGCTACTATATGTAAGTGCTACCCCTAAACTCAAGCGTTTTCCTAGTGATGGTATTAGCTTAACTTACCTAACCGATTATTTTAAACCCTGTCTTTAGGCTGCAACATTATCAGATAATAACTGAGCTAAAGATGGCATCCATGTTTTAGAGGTAATTAAGCCCAACATAAATGCAATTTATAACGTATTACAGCTATATTGCTGTTCTTATTCTAGAAACATTATAGCCTACAGCTGTCAACTGAATTGACACTAAGAATTGTAATCTTAAAATGTCAAAATGCTAAACATTAAAAACTGCATTATGTACCATCGTTTTAAATACAGGAAACAAAGGGCAGGTCACAGGATGACAGTTTTAATTACTATTCTGACTTACATGGAAGCTGTTCCATATTGTTATTGCTACCTGACTCCTGACTTTTATTCTCAGGAGCAGATTTCCTCCTGGAAAATGAAGCCTAACCTACAGAAATGACAAATAAGCAAGTCTGCAGAAGGGAATATTTCCTTTTCACTTACGGGTGGTTCCTCATTTAGTTTCTCCAACATCCAGTTTTCCAGGGCTTGGAAGTCCCTAGGGCCTTGGTATTTCAGAGGTTCTTGTCCTGGTTTAAGCAGCTTTAGGCTAAAGGATCAAAATGTAGAAGAGAGTGAGGCAAAAATTTTCACACAGGGAACATTCTCAGAAAGCTAACACGCTTTGCTAATCCACAGCAATGCAGCTCAGGCTGCAGTAACAGCTCTCTCGACTATCAACATCAGCATCAGGCATCTCGCTGAACTTAAAGGGTCATGGCTAGAACTTAGAACACTTTTTCATTCCCATGTAAGCTTTTAAAGGAGATTTGAAAAACAGCACAAAGAAATACCATGTTAAAAATCAACATAGCCTAATATTACTTTGATCAATAAGCAAAAGCAAATAAAACATTGCAGCGTTCAGTTCACAGGTTAATCATTCATTATGCCTATGAATCCTATTTCAGTTTGTCAAAAAGCATCAATTTGTTTTGTTCACCCCTCTCCATAACCAAAGGAAAAATATCCAATGCTTATTTTCCCAGGAATTTCTTTCTCACATTTTGTTCCCTGACTGCTCTTGGAATGTAGGACTTTTCATGTGGTATTAAACTGATTAAAAACACGCTGAAACAAGTCAATAGGACAAGGAGATAAGTGACTGCTTATAGGGATTCAAGACTTCACGATTATAACATTTAGTAATTGCTATAAAACTTTTCCATAAGCTACCTAAAGCTTTTACTCTCAAATATTTAAGTTAAAGTTGGAAATATATTTGGTAAAGGGGCAATATCAACTTCTGAACTAGTCTTATTTTTTAAAGCAAATCATAGTTTCAATTACTACTGTCATCTAGCCCTCAGTTCCCCTTGCTGAGCTGTCACTTCGTACTGCTTTTTCTTTTTCTTGAAATGTTTTTCTCTCTTCTTGTTCCACAGTTTGAAAAAATGCACATGAAAATGTTGAAAAACCACACAATGCAAATACATTCAAAAGAGATAGAAGCTCCCACTGCCTTTTCTATTTAAGGTATTCTTGAATGTTCCTTGTGATGATAATAGTCAAAACTTTTTTTGGGGGGAGGAGAGGGGGAGGCAACTTCGTAATAAGAAGGAAACAACAAAAATGAAATAGAACAACATCTAAAATGCACCTCATGGCAATACTTTTGAAGAGTAACTAGAAAAAAAAAGAAGATAGCTTAAAGAGCCAGCTACACCTTTATTTTCTTCAGATGAGTGTAAGTTTTCTCCAGTTCAGTTAAGAGAGTATTTTGCAGCACCAAATAATCCTGAGACAACTATACTAACAAGCACAGGGACCTGCTCAGCCAGTATTACCCTCAGGGGGATGGAAAGGGAATGCAGCCTTTCCTTTGATGGGTGTTTGGAAAAGCAGTGCAGGGACCAGCACATCCTGGACTTGCGACAATCCCTCTGTGCCTGAGGAAGCTGTGAAATTTCCCTTGCTGGAGGTTTTTAAAAACAGGCTAGTTAAAAACTGACTCAGACAGGAAGAGAATTGATATCATGAATTCCCCTTTATCTCTATATTTCTATAACTAGCAGATGACTGTCATCTTATTTATACTTTTCAAGTGGATGAAAGCGAGCACTAACTATTCCTAGATATTCAATGACCTTAAAGAGGAGTGGGGAAGAAAAAGGAGCAATTACACATCCATTCATTTTTTTCTTATTCAAAATCCCTGCCACTCTTTTCTATTTTACAGGGAACAGCACCACAATATAATCGATGCAAATATGCAAAGACAACCAATGTTCACTTTTGGAGATATTAAAATAGAGTTGTAATATTCATTGTTTCTTGGTCTTTCTAGTTGAACTAAACCACAAACTGCCCTTAAGGACAATTCCTATTTCAACAAGGACTTTGCTATTTATAACTTTCAACTTCTACTCAGTCACACTCATCTGCGTCAAAGCGGGCGCAGCCAGGAGCATATGTCAAGTTCAGGCTGTTGCTGGGGTCAGCAGTAACGCTAGGCAAAGTGAGCAAAGGAGAGGAAACTGCAAAATACATGCTGTGGAAGGGCTACAGATGATTACATTCTCCACTTATCCCCACTAAGATGAGTAATTAGTAAAGTAGTTGAAATGATCCCATCCATTTTTGCAAGAAGCTTTAAAAAAAGACACAAGTGGAAAAAAATCCCTTTGCTCCTTTTTGGGTGTTTTTCTAACCCAAAAGCCAGATCCAGGCTGACCTCTCATAGATACTCTAGATCATGGTCTGCATACTAAAGCTGAGGTAGCAAGGCATACATCCTTTATAACAGGCTAAGTTTAACAACCTTAAACTACAAATTAATTTCTCCTAGATCAATATAAGCAAAATTACCTAGAAAAAGTCTGTACAACATCAGCACTGCTATGCTAAGTGATACTATTACTTTATCATTTTATGAGCACCAAGTTCACTCAAAAATTTAAGAGATCACCTAGACATTAATTATGAATGGTGCAGCGTACTGACAAACTTGTGACAAGTTATTTTTAAAAGTACCGTTACCAGAGACCAGTTCTATCATGCATATCACAGCTGTATAATGTACTGTTGCTTGAGAAAGATGTACCCTCAGAGAAAAGTAAAGGACAATTCTGGACTTCATTTAAACACAGCCATCTTCCAAGACATAAAACAGTTTCTTTAAAAACAATAAAAGAGTAAGAGTAGTATGTATCACATGACACTTGGCAACATGGTAAAAAGGCTTACAATGAACATATGAGGTCCAAAGGGCTACAAAGAAACCCACGAAAAAATATAGCTCAGAAGTTAGCTTCAACAAATTGGCAGAGGTTCACGGAAAACTAAAAAAGAAATAGGAGCAGACATCCTTTTATACTTACGTAGGGTATCCTCGGACGCCAAATTCAGAGCACAGTGGAGTATCTGTAGTACAATCCACTTTAACGACATAGACCTGTGGGTTTTCCATGTTGTTGTATTTATCTCCCAAATCATTCCAAGTTGGCTGGAGACGCTGACAATGTCCACACCTACAACAGAAGGAACAAGATATTTGCTTAATAATTGCTCACATTTAGAGGGGAATGAATCTATGGAAAAGTCATATGCAGAGTGGTCAGAGATTTTGATAAATTTAAAAATAGTTAAGTCAGAAATCTTCCATACTTGAGCACTGTTACACTAAGCAACAGTGAATACTATGAAGAATCGTAGGACGCTGCAAACATATCTCATGTAAAAATCATCAAGAGATGAGCACTTCTTGCTACTATCCTTTTACGTTACAAAGCCTACTGAACGCCCCCTGAACTTTGTGAGGATATTAAGAAAAGCACTCTCAGTCTTCCAGCTTTCTAGAAAAATCCTGCAAGGCTGCCTAGCTTGCTTTCCACTCTAACATTTCAAAATACCATATATTTTAGCAGAAGTAAGAAGATAACAGTTTCTAGCCTCTTTCTAAGGCCACTTGTGCTTGTGTGTGTCACAGACACTGTAACTCAGAAGTCATAAAACACATCAGGACTGATTTCTGAACAGGGTTTCTCTAAAGCCTCCCCTACCATGCTTTGCCCCAGCAGCACAGCATCAACTAATTATATCTGCATATACACAGAAGACTGGCCTCATACAGTTGCTATAACAGCAGCTCCCCGGAAGCAGAAAATGGCTAATATTCTTCTCACGGTTTTCCTAGTCTTTCAAGTCATTACAGCAATACACTATTCCTGTAACTACGATGAAAAATTTTAAGGAATGGATTTTCATTTCTCTCTAATAGCTGCTTTTGCCAACCCTCCAAGACATCTAAAAATACATAATTGGATTAACAGAAAATATTCTCAACCTAACAGTATGAAGGCTGTTATTGCCCTAGGCATGACCTAGACAGTCTACTTTGTAAGTAACAATTAAAACACCATTAGGACTTCGCAGAAAGTTGCTGCCATTTAAAACAGTTTCACTTATACAACTGATTTTGAGTCCACTTGTAGAAAAGCTGCATGGATTCACACCTTTCTGGGTATCCTGGTATCATTAAGGCAAATACAATAACCTTGAGATTTACTTTAAGATAAAGAATGTCTTCTGACCTTAATAAGGTCCTGTTAGGCACAGTGGGTCACACATATTCCCACTATGTGGGGGAATACAACCTCCCATATGATCTTATTCTGAATCGTCATGGTGAAGGGATACAATGTGTTATTACTAAAATCAAATATTTCTTAAGTATTTAACTTCAGACTGAAGTCCCTCCATAGTCAACTCTTTCATGGAGCTTGAATTAAGAGGAGGATTTTGGATTCCCTGGTCCCTTCCCTTAGCAGTTGCAGGGGTTTTAAACATCGAATGAATACTGACTGGCGTTAAAGAACAGAGCATGGAAAACTAGGTAAGGCAATCTCAAGTAATTAACCTGCTGTTTTTTAAGCGCAGAACAGAGCTGCCTTGTCCATATTTAACACCATGATCCCTGCTATATACAAAGTTACCCTTTCCTTTCCTTCTTCAGATTATGAGCTAAAATTGAAAATAAAGCAGGAAAAATGCTCATACCTGAATTGGTAATCAAGTAGTTAGTCCTGGTTTTAAAAAAAATTCAGTGTTACATAGAAGGAGATACAAGACAAAACAGCCCCCTAAACACTTTTTCTGAAATTCATAAGGTGTAGCTGCAGAATATATAAAACCAGAGAAGTCATAAATAAAGAGAACAAGACCATGCAACATCACATGGCTGCCTTAGCCCCAGGTACCTACACAGTCGTTCATTGCTACCACTCCACATTACACCAGTGGGGCTGGAGGAGCAGCCAGTTCTACCACTGGGGACAGTGGGGTCCTGGGCATCAGTGAGGAGTCCTGCTCTTCCTTCCCTACAGGGGCTAGTGTGGTGCAAACATTCATAATCTCTGTTTACAAACATAAACAAAGATCCAAAAGAGACTAACAAGGCCATAGGAAAGATCCACCTTTCTGAAAAAAACAAACCAAAACCCTCCTTCTTGTACACCACTAACATCAGGAGGTGTGGGTGAAAGGACGTTATTTGTAAGAGTTTGCAGATAGGTTGCCCATTTTAACTCTGAGCAACCGTGTGCCACAAGCACTCGTGGCTGGAGATTATTTTGCTGTGGCAGTATCTATAGACTACCAGGCTGCTCTACCTCAAGCTGACAGGTCAGTGCTCCTCCCATAGTGTCAGCGCTTCCCATCTGGAAAACTGGATGGCGGACTTCCTGGGCCATGACAAGAAGGGATGTAAAGGTACATAAGGACCATATATGTCAAAACTGCAGTTACTGATAAGCCCTGTGCAGTCAGTGAGGAACGCGGACATTTCTGGAGGCCACCAGTAGAGCTTGAGCTCTGTAGCTAGCAAGGGCAGCACCACAGCAAGATACAGCACGAATCATTACTCAATTAAAAACGTAGGTAGACTGTGGGATAGACAGGTATAACAGTACAAGCAGCACAGGACCAGTCTCACTCTAGACAAAACAATCCGGCTGAGGTAAAATCCAGTCAACAGAGTTCAATCCAACAGCAGCGAACTCTAGTGATCAAGTCTGCTTCAGCTCCTTGGACTTCCCGGGGTTTACCAAGAGACGACGTATGTTGAAAAGTCCTGTAATGGTCAAAATAACACAATGAAACTACTCATTTGAGATTCCTTCCAATTAAGGAACCAGGGGGAACCTCTTTTCTCTGTAGACACACAGCTGGCACGGCCAACATCTTAAGAATATCTAGTGCCGCCAAGAGAGTAACCTGCTCATGGTCAAGCGTAGCTACCAAGGGGGACAGCCTGATGATCAAAAACCTTAAACATGTGGTGGCAAATGACTTGGAATGCTCTCTTTCTGGAATAGCCTGCAATATTTGAAACAAATGCGGACCTGGTGTACCACTGCTGTTTGGGAGGGAGGCCCTCAGCAACATTTGTTTCAAGAACCCAGAAGAGTTACAGCAGCTCTGTCTAGCCCAACTCTTACTGGTAGCACTGACAATGGAACATTAGCAGCATCCATAGCAATCTGAAAGACAACCCTAGCTGAACATGGGGTTGTTTGCTAGGCTTCTCCCTTGTAAATTCAGGGAGCAGTGTCAAAATGCATTGTTCTGTGAGAGGCATGAGGATATTAGCACATTAACATCACCTAGGAATAGGGCAAGAGGCTCTAATCAGACTCCAGGGCTGCCACATTGCCGCCTGTTCCCACTGACGATAAAAGCACTGGTATGTCTAAGCACCCCTCTCGAACACTTGGATATTCCCGTTGTCCTTCTCTTCCTCTTGGATCCAAAACCTGGCCCTGTTGCAGCCTGTCAGTAGCCAGGAGTCCAGAGCAAGGGCCCTGAAGCCAAGACCCAGAGATCTGGAGGAGGCTTGCTAAGGGCGAGAACGTCCAGAGAAGCTGCAACAAGTCTGGGAAATGATGCAGCTCCCTTGTGCTCAAGTTGGGCAAAGATTCTCAGCCCTCCCAAGGGCACAGCGTGGTCCAAGTTTGCAAGGCCAGCGCTCTCTCTGTTGCGCGCTGAGGACATACACAGCATGGGCTGGACTCTGCAACAGCCCCTTTGGCACAGGGTCTCCTATGAAGACTGTGCCAAGATAAAAACTCATCTGGTTTTAGGGATGCCTGTAAAACAGTCAGTCAAAGCTTGGACAGACACATTTCCCCCTGAAAATGGGACAGAGCAGAAGCACTCCTGCCCTGCACAGGCATTTCTGAGGCCTTGCAGCTCTCTCAGGCAAACGTCCTTCACCAGCAAGTTAGGCGTCCTCCGCTTTTGTGATCTTCAGAGAACAAAGGCAGGCATCTGCTCTTTCAAGCTTTTGCTTAACATTTTCATATGGCATAAACAAGTTGATGTTAATAACAAAAAAAGTAGTAGTTCCTCAGTTTTGAAAGGAAATCCTTTTCTGCTGTTGATTTCAAAGAGCGTCATGACTCACATATGCCTAAATGGCACCATGTACCAACGGATAACCTAGGATCAAAACATAACGTCTGCATATTGTTCCCTTAACTTTGTTTTACCTAAATTTAAGAAAACTCGGGAGGAAAAAACCCAAACAAACATAAACCCACCCACCCAACCCTAACAACAAAACTCCCAATAACCTCTACTGGATATCATTCAGTCAGATAAAGAAGGGTAGGGGAAGAGACGAAGGAAAGAGAAGAATATGAACAACCACTAGAAAGGCCCAGAGATGAGCAGCACTGTCCTCCTGACAGCTGTAACATCCAGCAAAGCCCTGTTCTCCCATCCTTCTCAACCATTCTTGTGTCAAACGTACCAGTCCAGGACAAAAGCCCAGTAGGTCTCTTGCAAATCTGAGAACTCTCCAGCTCGGCTACCTGCGGCCTCAGCGACACAGTGCTATCGTTACACCGCTTTCACTGCCAATTTATCTTTAGATTTCGTGATTGCAGAGAGAACATAACTTCTGCAATGAAAGTATTTGTGAGACCGGGGGGGCACAAGGTAAGCGACGGTCACCAGATCGCACCCACTGCCACACACGGAGGCCACGCGCTCTTGGGTCTCTTTGAGGAACGAGGTGAAGCGGCGTCCGGGGAGGGACAGGGAGAGCCGCCGGGGACCGGGGCCGGCTCCAGCCCAGCAGAACCCGGGCCTGACCCAGCTTGCCTGCCCACTGCCCGGCGGAGCAGCGACTTCACCCGCAGGCCCCACGCGGGGCGCGGGGGCACCGCCGGGAGCCCACGGGGCCGCTTCGGGTGCCGCTGCGGGCCCTCGGGGCAGGGGGCGGCC